AAAAAAAAAAAAAAAAAACTGTTCTGTGAACTGAAATCCCTCGCTGAGGCAGACACACCTATGCCCTGCGCCCCACGCACTGGGCTGCTCTGGCTCGTGTCTGGCCTGACCCGTGCGGACATTAAGCGTCAGGTCACATGGCTTCAGGTCCTTCTCTTCGGGTATCATGATGGTGACGATAACGATGATGCTGTGATTACATCTTCTTACGTGACATTCCTGGACCATTTCCAGGTGGAGCGGTGCTAGGATATGCTGAGGACAGAGGGAAAATCTGAATCTCAGCAGGCTTCAGCCACTGAGACTTGTCTAACGTGTTCCTCACCGTGGAAGGGTGAGGAGATTAATAATTTGCTGGGGCCTCATGGTAGACAAGTGAAGAATTCTAATCTGAGTGGTTCCTTCTCATTCTTGTTTTCAACAAGTACCTGTGGAGAAGCCTTTTAAAACCACAAGATCCACTGCAACAAGAAAGAAATAATTAAATTCCTGTGTTATTTAAACAGATTTAAGAGGAAAATGAAATGACTAGTTTATTCATCATTAATGGAAGATGGGGAGAATAATTATTATTTCATGATAGCATTATCATCCTCAGAGGTTAATTTGGTTAGATAGAGAATGATACTAACATTCTGTAATAGACTTCCACCTCCTTGGGCGACCTCTACTTTATAATCATTGTGCTCTTAATATGACTTTTGTCATTGACACAGTGTATTCCCCCAGTGGGCAGCATTACTTAAGCATTTGTGACTGCGGTGTGGGTCTAAACCTGTTCCGTTAAATCAATGCAGAAACTTCAGCTAAACTTTTCATTCTAAAATTTAAAGATCTTTTCTCCCCACAGAGGATATTGTCTTAATAGTAAGAACGAGAGACATTTGAGGTGACACTCTGGTCTGCGATGTGTCTGATACAGTGTTAACCACACTGCTCAGGTTGCTCTGGGGGCGGGTGTTGTCTGGGATGAGGGACGTGTGGCTTCAGGTGGTGGTCACTGTCCGGCCTTACACATACTGACTGCTCCTGCTGGGGTACGGACCGAGACATCCGCGTTGCTGCTCTGCTGCGGGTTCCATTGGCTCAGCTGCAAAAGGACACAAGTCAGTGTGGAGAACGGGCCATAGCCTGGGGCTCTACTGTGTGGCACGTATGCAGGGGCCCGGGCCCCCCCTGAAAGTGTTTTGTGCAACAGGGACCCAGCACCAGGCTCTGCAGGGCAGTGTGCTTCTTTAAGGCAGATGGCATGAAAGAGACTCGAGATTCTGATGTCATTAATTAATGACAGAGTGCTAATCGATAGGTATCCACCGTAATGGCTTATAACATGATGGCTTTTAATGGCTCGGGTATAAATGTTAATTGATTTACAGCAAAGGGAAATTTCTGCCTATCGGGTCAATAGTTTATGGATTATGACTACCTTTTAGCTCGAGATTGCTAACGAATGTGCCTTCTTCACCCTCTGCCCCTGGCCAGTTCTCCTTTGTTTTCCATCAGAAATGCCTGTAAACAAGGTACATTAGGCCAATTATTGGTACTAGAATCCAATAGCACTCGTAAAGCCCCAGGGCTTCTCCGGGGTGCTGCAGGGGGACCACTCAGTGTCCAGCCTGCAGCACAGAGTGTGCGCATGCTTCCTTCATGATGTTACATTTTATGCAAAAAATATATATTTTATAAATATGCAGTCTTTGATATATCATCAAGATTGTCACTCTCGTACTGCTCAGTGCATGCAAAGGAGAGGCCCAGCATAGACATGTCATCTGCCAGAGTAAGTGGCCTCTTGCAAAGCTGTGCCGCTATTCTAACACCTACAGTGAGAAGCAAGTGCGTTCATATCAGGTGTAACATCAAAACCCAGAGTTGGCAGGTGCATTTTCCCTGACAGACTCCTATGTTAGCAAGCAAGGGAGTTGCTTAGAAATATTCCAGAGCCTGGGGAGCTGGTTCCTCCCGCAGGACTGTGCTGGGATGGACTGACGGACAGATGGATGGATGACACACGGACTTATGACTCTTTCTCCACCAGTTCCCTCTTACTGCTCCACCCTTGGAGGTCTGCTGCAGAGTAGCACCAGTTATCTTTTTTATTTAAGCATATTTTACATCAAAATACTGATTTTGCAGTATTTGAGGAAACTGATGGGCTTGGAATTGTATCTCTGGCAGCCTTTTCATGCATGCACGTGAAGTCCAGGAAGCCAGGGTGAGGGGACTTGTGACGATGGCTCTTCTTGCTGATGTCTGTGTCCCTGGTGTCACCTCCATGCTCAGAGCAGCGTGCGGATACCACAGACTTCAGTTTGCAGTTTTGGTTTCATCTGCTGACTTCTTTGCATGGAAGCTAGGAGCTGTTACACCTTCCCCTCTGCAGAGCCTTCCGAGGTGCTTTCCTCTGTGAACTCCTAGAAAGTTTCAGTGTTTGCACTGTTCCTGTGTGTGTCGTGTGTGCGCACGTGCATGCATGTGTGGTGTGGCTGGCAGGGTTGGAGGAGACTAATCTAAAGAGGGAATCAGAACAGAACAGTGACCGAGACCGAAAAGGACAGACAAAGATATGGGAGGAAAACCAGGAGAAATATGAGGGAGACGGTATGAGTTATATTATGAATTGTGTTGTAAATTGAATAGAAGTGCAAACATCCTCAGAGGAGTCAACTCAGATGTCCACACAGCACCCTTAGCGCAGCTGTGAGAGCTCTGTGTTCCAAGTCGGAAAGCAGAGGGACACAGTAAAGAACCTCAGATTACTCACTGGAGCAGCTCAGCTCTGGAAGAAATGAGGTAGAAGGCCGTTCAAAAACAGCTGGTGTGGGTAAAAGATTAAGCTCAGTTTTCTTTTTCTTGAGATGGATGACAGTACCATGCTTCCTGGTGAAGGTGTAAATTGAAAAATCTTTAGGCGGCTAGCAGTCTTTTCCGATCCTACCTCTTTGGCCACTGTATTACAGTTTAATGACAATAACGTGTTCTCTTGATGTTGCGCTTACAATGTTTAAGGCTGGAGGAGTATCTTTGTCTGCACACACACGCACACATGTGCACACACACACAGATGCTGCTTGTGCACTGGAGGGAGATGTGCGCCCTTTGCACACGGCACCAGAACATAAACAGGGCCCCTCTCCTTGTCCAGAGCCCTCTGAAGTCCGGCTGTGCTTTGAGTTTCCTTTCACCTTCTTAGCTCTCTGTTGATCTTTACTGAGTAGAATCTCCTTTATTTCTCCTTTTTGGCCAGGCTCATCTGTCCGTCTGCCTGCTGCTTTTATTTCTTTCAAATCCACAGCTATATCGTGTGTTGACTAACTCCATTACACCATAAAGCTGCTGTTACTATTCAAATTGTATGCATCCAGACATTCTGCAACAGAAAGAGACTCCCTCTGGTATAGTAACCTATTCTGGGACATATTTTAGTACAACTGTCACCAGAAACACCATTATCTTAAACAACATGTGGACCCAGTGCCATAGATGACAAAACCTTTTTATATGCTCAGAATTTAACCTGGATGTTGAGGGTGCTGGGTGCTAAACTGCACTTGCAAATTGCACTAGGAGTCTGTCTGCTTCTCATTTTGCTGTTTAAGAAAGACTTTGGTCAACCAGAGCACCAAGGTTTGGATTATTAAATGGGTCATGAAAGTCAGTGATTGTTTTCAATTCTGTGTTAGTAAAAATATTTGGCTATGTGTAGGTTTTGTGGGTACAAGTTGATATATTTCTCATCTGTTTTCTTGTCCATTCATTCATTCATTCCATAAACATTTCTTGAGGATCTACTCTGTCTCAAAGCTGTGTCAGAGGAATCCCTGTCTTCAAGGAGGATTCAGCCATGTAAGAGAGGCAAACATCAATGTACCCCTAGAATATCACATGGCAGGGGTAGGGCACATTAATCATGGACTGTGGGGCCCCAGGGTCCTGGCTAGTATTTGCCTCCATCTTGATGAGCAGGCAATTCAAATACAGCTTTGGAGGGAGTGACCAGAAGCTTGTAGCGTGAGAGGAAGTGTGAGCCAGGCAGAGGAGACAAAGAAGCTTCTGGCTAAGCGTGAGAGGGCCCAGGTGTGCTCTCAGGAGCCAGAGTTGGTGGGCGGGAGTAAGGGTGCCCACAGTCCAGAAGCAGGCAGGAATACTGCGGAGGTAAAGGAGGCTGGGTCCTCCAAGCCTTTAGGAAAGGGATTTAGGAGAGTTGGAGAATTCACAGAAGGGTCTTTGAGTTACAGAGTCACCTGACACAATTAGTGTTTCAGAATACCAGTCAGTAGAAGAGGGTCAGGAATGAGGCCCAAAGCTGGCTGAGAAACTGCTCTGCCCTGGGCTACATCGTGCACAAAGATGAACCAGAGCAAAGATGAGAGACACATTCAGAAGGTACAGTCAGTCAGATGACAAGTTTCGAGCAATATGGAGGAGAGAGGAGCCCTCTGGAATGTCACATTGGCTTCTATTGTGAACCCTAGGGCTGAGGTTCTGAGGGGAGTGCTATGGTGACCGTAAGGCTGGCTTGTACACATGGGAGCATATCTATAAATGTCTCTAGACAGCTCCATCATCCATCTATCTGTCTATGGTTCAAAAATTTCTGAGTAAGTGTCCAATGAGCTAAAATTTTTAAAATCTATGTAGAATTTTCAAGTCACTGTTTTCTTATCTCATACCTTTAACATAGCTAGGTAACTAGAGTATAAATTCCTAGGTCTCCATCTACAATCTTGAACTACCGATTAACCATATTCAGGCACTAATATAATTTTACAATGGATTTTCTTGTTATTCTGTCTGCAGAAAGCTTTTAATGCTTGTGGACATTTGTACCCCTGTGATGAAGGTATAGTGGGATGAAGATATCTGTTGAGAATTTTCTTCTTTTTTCCAGGTATGATATTTGATCCTAAAATTCGAAAGATTTCATAAATTGTGACAGTATGAATACATTGAATCACACCCCATAATCTAAAGAACCTCACTTGGTGCACTTCAGGCAACTGATCTTGGTACCCTAAAAATGGAGCAATATAATTATATTTATTTTCTGAAAGAGTTTCTAATTTTAAGGAGAACAGTACATATGTTTTTTATTTGCCAGCTTAATAAACGCTCTCTAATACATAGTAAAGAAACAAAAGATAGATGTATGGAATAGAAAAATCAAAAGTGCCCGACAATCTAGCCTTTTTCCACCATGTAAAACAATCACTCATATAGGGTCTGTCTTCACATTCACAGACTTAATTTTCTTAGTGGTGCGACATTACGCATAGTTTTCCATAATCATCTGTTTTTCTGAACGATATGTTCTGATATCTTTTCATGCAAATAAATACAGAGCTATACTTTGTGTTTTCATTTGATATGAAACTATGGGGTAGCTTAGTTAGCTAGTATCTTCCTAGTGCTGTTTTCTCCTAGACTTTCCACTAACAAATGCTATGGCTGTGAATATCCCTGACTATATCTTTCTGCATTTTCTCATGATAAATTCCTGATGTAGGACCATTGATTCAAAGGCTGCATGTATTTCACAACCTCACAGTGACAGTCAATCATCCGTCTGTGGACCTTATTCCAAGATCCCCATGGACCCCAACTCTTCAGGTGCTCCGGCCAGTATAGAAAATGGCACTATAATTTGCACACCTACACACACCCTCCTGCACACTTTACACCGTAGAGATACCTTAGAATAGCTAACACAGTGTAACTGATGTGCTGCGCTGTTTAGGGAACAACAGGAAGGAAAAGGTCTCCAGACCTGTTCAGTACAAACACGAGTGTTTTCAGAATAGTTCGATCTGGGATTCGTTGAAAAGCCACAGAGAGCTGGCTATAGTTTCCCTTGGCACATAAAGGTTGCATGAGCCGCTAAGTGGGGACACATGTCTGCACATTCGTCTCTCCTTTGTTACAGTCAATTTGATTTTTCTTTTTGAGACAAAAAATATGACTGCTAAAACTCGGATTTTCTGGATTTTCTATACATTGTGCTTATTGTCATTTACATTTTTATTTTATAGATTACTTAAATCTTCTGCTGATTTTTCCACTGTTGTTTATCATATATTCATTGCTTACAAAGAGCTCTTCACATATTAAAGTCACACTTTTTCTTGCAATTCATGATTTGCAGATTTGCTAAGAGCCCCCTCTCTCAGATTATAAACACAGTAACTTTGATTGAAAAGAAAACCCTAGCAATAAAAGCCACGTTAAAAACTAAAAATAATTAGGGCGCATATGGACAAAAACAAAAGCCCTGTAGGCTGTTCTCTAAAGCAGGAGAAAAAAGGAGGAGAGTGCCAGGACCACAGGGTGAAACCCACCCCACAGTGCTCTGAGCTGCGGAGCAAATGCGAATATTCAGGCTTGCAGTGCAGAGCACCCGGACCCTTGCCGGTCAGAGCAGTTTCTGCAGGCGTGGAGGAGGGACGGAGCGCTGCTCCCTGTGTGTGTCTTTCCCTGTCCCTGGCCACTGGCAATGTACACCTGAAAATCCCTTTGTTTATCAAGACTTTCCCTGACTTTTTCTGTCCTCCTGTTTGTGAGGACATTAAGTTTGTGCATTTTATAAACCGTGCTGTTAGTCGTAGAGAAAACCCTAAGGACCAGGGTGGAAAAGGACTCCAGGATGTACTGTCTAGTCAAGGAAAAACAGGGCTGACCTTTTGACAACATTATTATTATCATTATAATTTCTAATTTAACTGCAAATGAATAACAAAGGACTCACTGGAATTGCCCTTTTTTGGGATTCTTGAGCAATTCCATTGTCTGAAAAAATCTAAAGTGTCTTTGGAAAAATGTAGGAGAAAAAGAATTAACATACATTTTATAAAGGCAGAAGAAAGAATGCTTTTCTATTTTTATTTTAACCAATTCTTTGGTCATTTAATGTTATTATAAATATATGCATTCCTAATTTCTGATCTCCAACTTATGAAAAAATACAATAACCTTCCCTTTTTTGTAATTTAGATACTTTCTTGGATGATTGAAAATAGCTCTTTATCAGTTGTGTTCTGTAACATTTTTCCCTGAAAGAATAATCTTTTTTTATTAGCATAATAGCTAATTTTAATTCCATGTGACACAAACCCCCTTAACTTTATATGAGGTTTTATATAGTAATGTTTATTTCCTATACAAACTCTCTAGGATGTTTTATCTGTTTTATATCCCATTGAATTCTCCCTGAAACTGCACTAGTTTACAATAATTTTATTACTTTATTAATTAAACGTTTTCCAACAAGCTAGCTATGGCATTTCTTATCATCAAGGGTTCCATTAGTTTTTAATGGTGTGAGACAAAATTACCATTTACCCACATGCAATTTAAGAAGCATCATTAACACAGGAAAAGCACCAGGTGGGATTTCTAATAGTTACTGTTTCTCATTTTTGTTTAAAAGGAATAACTGTTTTTGAGATTTTTTTTTGCTGCAATATTGCCAAATCTTCTCTCAGATTTTACGATTGAGATAATTTAAAATAATGTCCTTCTATTTCTGTAAGCGCCATTCAATGATATTCAACAGTATTTCACTTGGGCACTCGGCGCCAGTCTAGGACTTTTGCTGCACAGTCCTGTGAGTGTGAGCTGTGGAGTGGTCAGAAACAAAAGAGGGCTCCTTGGGGCCAACAGGGTCTCAGGCCGAGGGTTCAGCAGGTCAGTGGTCTGGCTGCAGAGCCATCCCTGTCCTCAGAGAAGCACTCTGAAGCCCTAGGACTCTCGAGAGGTGGACACTCATGAATGTTTTCCTGAAGACCCTAAGAATTCTCATGAAGAGGTTCTGTGTCATAGACTTGGAAAGACCTGTCCCCCTGCAGGACAGAAAGCACTTGTCCCTATCAAATGAGTACACGAGAACCAATCAGAAACACCCAGGAAGGAAAGTCTGTAACACCACAGATCTCCTTAGAAGACTGGGAAAGTACAATTTCCCTCCAACCCAGTGCACTGTGGAGCACAGAGCACATCTGCAGACCCCTGCCCTGAAAACCTTCGGAGAGGGGCATTTATTTGTTCCTGACTTCAGAAGAGAGCCCATCCGCCCCTGGAAAGAGACAAAGCAGAGCAAAACCAGACTTGTAAATTTGGGTGTTACACAGCCAGTTTGGGAGCCTTTTCCAGCTTTAATTGTTAGTGGACAATTACTGTTCTGAAACATGAAGGGAGTGGAACAGTAGAGGGAAACTGAAATCAGGGTTTGGATAATACTTAAACTTCTTACACAGAATGGATCAGAATTAATCAATATTCTAAGATTATTTTTAAACAAGGGTAGGATGTATTAATCAATATTAGACTCATCTGATTTTGGAAAGGCAGACAGATTAAAAACTTTAAAATCTCCCAGAAAATGTTCTATCATTTCATGACACTTGAACAATGTTGAAAAACCAAGGGAAACTGTTGCCTGATATTTAGACCTTGGAGCCTGTCCTACCTTCTAAAGAAAAGGGGAAAGGTATTCAGACTTTAGCATATGGTAGGGGCATGAGCGGTCTTCTGTGGGGGGATTTTTGTATAAAATACTAAGTGCCAATCAATTCAGTGAATATTTATTGATCATTTACTATAAGTTTATTAAATGACAAATATCATATTTTGGCTAGCATACCACATTACATGAGAAATATTTGTTTCATTCCATAGAGAATATCTGTAATAAAGGAGTTTTTGGTGTGTGTGTGTGTGTGTGTCACTAGGGAAGGGCCCCTCACACTGAACTACCTCCCTAGCCCTTTTCTTTTCTCTTTTCTTTTTGAGACAGGTCTCACTGAGTGACTAAGTTCCCTTGCCCAGGCTGGGCTTGAACTTGGGATCCTCCTACCTTAGGCTCCTGGAGTGCTAGGACAACAGGCGTTCTCGTGCCTTATCACTCCTGGCTATAAAAAAGGAACTTTACGTAAAGAGCCGAGAAGAAAAAGTCTGAATGAAATAACATCTTCTAAACGTGGAAGCTTTGATATCTAAGAAGAATCAATTTATAAGAAAAGGACATTTTACATTCAGCCCACTATGTACTTCCCTCTCAGCCAATCTGTACCTTTAGCTCACTTCCCAGTGACTATGTGTCAGTCTGTGTACACAAAGTGCCGAAGCTCATTTGCAGCAGCACTGTATATTTGGCTGTTTTCCTTTGTCTACACAATTAAAGCCAGCTGGTTTTCTGGTTAGGATATCAGTTCTATATTCACGTTGGCCACAGAAGGCAGAGACCGAGAAGCTGCTGAGCCTCTGTGTGAGGCTCGCCCTGAATGTTCCTCCAGTTTACATTTGGTCCATATCAAGTATTAGAGTTTGAATGAGAACTGTTATTTGCATAGGTTCTTTTCAGCATTGCCACATGGGGAGAATCACTCTGTAACTTCTCTGCTGGAACAATTGATTATTACCTAGTTCATGGACTCATTTCTATTTTATTTGGGCTCCCATTCATGAACACGAATTGTTCAGGATCCAGCAAAACCTTTCCGGTGAAGCTTCATTCTGGGCGTTTGTTCCGCCTTCATTCAGGATGCTTTTATTGTGCTTGAAGCTGACAGCAAATTGCTAGAGCCAATCACCAAAAAGTGCTTATTTTTTTATGATGTTTTATTTTCATTGCTCAACATTAACATAATGAAACTTTAGATTTTTCTATTAAAACAATGCAATACATGTGAAGTGTCATGATGAATGACAGTTTCTTGTGATATACATTTTGGTGTTTGTAAAATAAAGATTGACGTTAGAGCTTCCTGGGGTAGATACGCTCTGATTTTATTTAGAGGCTTTATGAAAAGCTAGCACATATCACACTCACACAGACACATGGTTAAGTACAATTCCTCACCAGAAGAAAGATAATAAACCACTTATTAGAGCCCTTTTATTTAATTATTGTCATCCAGCACTTTGCAAAGCTTCCAGTGCTGGGAGAAATCCAGGCGCCGTGGACCGCTCTTTCCAGAGCATGGGCTCTGTCCAGAGCAGGACCTGACACGGTCACAGGGCCAGCACTGATTCTCAGAGGTGGCACACGTGGTGTGGGAGAGTTTTGGGAAGCAGGAAGCCATTCACAAGGTGCCAGTGTTCATCTGTGTAGATAGAAGGTGACACACTTTCGTTCTGGAGTTTTCCTAGAATGAGCATCAGCTGCTTCTGCCCTGAATCATTTCTGAGACACGAATTGAGACACATACCAGTGACGCGATTACAGGAGGCGATGAGTGTGAAATTAAGATCTGGACTTTGTGGAATGCCTGTGCTGCTGTGTCAAAACTGAGGCAGACACAAAAGGGCCGATTCCCCATGGCCTTGGGCAAAGAGGCAGAGAGCTGGAGACGTGCCCCCCCCACTGTTCTGGGCACCGTCTCTGGCCCTGGTCCGGTGTGACCAGTTAGGAACCTGGCTGCACTCCCCACGCCTGGCACGTGCTGGAGAAGGACAGCCAGAGTGGTTTCATGGGAAAGGCATAGGCTCACCACCTCTTGCTTCCACTCTTATCTTCAGAACCTGCCTCTGAGGATGCTGGCCGAGTCCCCACTTCTTCGGATCTCCTCCCGATAGGAGCAAAAGTTTGCATTATTGTAAGGTGTGAATGGGTCAAAGCTGTGAAAATTCCTATCCCAGTGTCCTTGGAGGAGCGGTTACTATTGCGTACCTCATGCTGGGGTTGCCCCTTCTCCCAGCAAAGACAGGGTCAGGTGGCTTTGATTGTGACATACACTTATTTGTTGATTTAATTGAGTAACCAAGATTTTGATGCTTAAGTATATGATTCTTAGAAATAAAAGGTAACATTTTTTGAGCGTTTACTATGTTCCCGGGCTACTACTGAGCGCGTGTGTCTGATGCGGGCCTTGAGTGTGCGGGGGTGCAGCCGTGCATGCAGCCGTGTATTACTCTCCCGAGGGCCCTTGAGGGCAGTTTAGCTGTCGTCGCTGTTAGCGATGGGGGAGGAGAGCGCTCCTGCCTTGCACCGGCCGCCCAGTGACTGCAGGTGGCAATGGGTCCGTGTCCCCTGCAGACTGTGAGTCACGGGAGCGCAAGTGATTCAGCGTGGGCCACAAGCAGCCTGGAGCCCCAAGGAAGAGGAGTCAGCCGCAGAAGGAAGGAGCGAGGGATGGACTTGGCACATCAGAAGGAAAGACAGTCCTCGGAAGGATCGGCAGCAGGGCTCTTTTTTATACATTTGCGCAGGCGTTAAAGGTTCTCTTTTCCATGCTCAGTGTGTTGGCTTCTGAGCTCCGGGGAGCCTTCTTTTAGTTGAGCTCAGAGTGACCTCTTGTCAGCTGCAGGTGGCTCTTTCTGCTTCACACATAGGGCACAGAGCGCATCCTGACTAATACTTGGTGAGCCCCAGCCGTAGTCAGGGCTGTAAGTTGGTGAACGACTCAGTTTTCCAGACGTTAGGGAAAGTTGGCAGTGGGGTAAGGGATAGCAGACGTGGGGATTCAGGGGTCCCCTCCTCAGTCCTGATACACGTTGGCAGAGTTCTCTCACATGCCAACTCTGCTGTGACACAACAGTGAACTCTCCCTGTGGAAATGGACTCTTTTCATGTTTACTCCTTTAATCCAGCGACTTGACTCCCCCCTTACATGGCTGGGTGTGGAGCTATGGAGAACTGAAGGCTGGTGCACAGGCCCTCTGAGCCAACTGGAAGGTTAGGGTCAGCTTCTGTCCAGAAGGGTGGCGCTCAGAATCCTGTCTGATGAAGCAGTCTGCTTTTTCCTGCTTACCAGCCCCACCAAGGTGGCATATCGAAGTATTGCATTTCCTCTGGTGCCACCCCTGTAAGGCAGAGCTGCAGGGATGAGCTGTGGGACTCGGCAGCTGGATGCTAGGAGCGGGAGGCACCAGGTGTGTTGGTGGCAGTCAGGCAGGGGGTGTGGCTGAGTGGATCAAGAGTCAGACAACCTGGTGGGAGGTGCGTGTGTGGCCCAGCCACTGGCAGCACCTGCAAGACAAGCTTCTCCCAGCCTGGTGACACTTCTGGACACAGGCTCCGAGGGACCACATGTGGTCAGGACTGCCCAGAAGAGCTCTAGGCATTGTGAATCACAGTCGTGTAGTAGTTCTGCGCGGGCTTCCTCCTGACAGGGTTGATCGAAAGTGTTCTCGCAACAACAATGGCACAATCACTAAAATGAAATCTACATAAAAGCAGGAAAAGTGTCCATACAGATCCAAGGGCATAAATGACACAAAGGAATGCACCAGAATTTAAGTGCTGATGTGGTACAAGACACTGAAGAGGAGAAAGAACAAAGAAGTCAGCCGGGGTAAATTTCTGGACCTACTAAATTATCCTAGCCTTTTAATAGCTTGCGTAGTAATGGGAAGGGGGAACAGGTTCACAGAACTTTGGAAAATAGAAACTTAGCAAACAGAATCACCCCAGAAAATGTTGGAATTTTAAACACCCAATTAAAGCTATATACGTAGCCCAACTGCACGAATATTCCTCTCTCTATAGTAGAAATTGCCCTAAAGGATTCTCATAACTTCTTTGTACTTGAATAGCTGTTTTAGACATTCATATAAAAGATAGGCAAATATATTAGCCCATCCTTCTGGGGAAACTCACTGGCCAAGTACTTCCATAAAGCCAAGTGAAGGCCAGTGCTGCTGTGTCTGGGTAGCTGTGTCCCTTCGTGTCGCCACTGGCCCAGCAGACTGTCTTGTCTCCATGGATGTCCCAGAAGTCATTCCTGGCCTCTGCTCACCAGAGACCAGTGGCTCCTCTTGGCTGTGTCAACCTCAAAATGTACTTAGGCACTGATAATGGCCCTTTCTGGAGCAAAACTTTCCATGTTTGAGAGTCCCTCTTCTCTAGTGATATTTGACAACCGTTAGTATTCGGTTTGTTCTGGGACAGCAAAGCTAGTGGAGATGGATAATCTGTCTGCAGGAATGAGTGGGTGTGTGTTCTTGGGTTCCTAACATGTCCCTTTTTGCCTTGTCCAGCTCTCTCCCTTCCCTTTGGGGTGTATTTCTCTCCATGTGAGAAGAGCATGCTTTGGGACACAGCCTGTATTTTGAAGGCCCCCTGCACCACTTTCCCTCTTCTGCCTCTGCAGCCCTGAGCCTGGCCCTCATTTGCTGGGTCTTGGTGCTGGGTGCTTAGAGAGGCTCGCCAGGGAGACAGAGGCACAGCCTCCCCTGCCTGACACTGGCCCTGGGGAATGATCTATCCCCGCCTAGCTTGTCCTCCCCTTGCAGCCCACCTCCTCTGGTTTCTCTGTCTTTGTTGCCAGCTCCTCATTTGCCAGGCATCCTTAGGATCAACTTTATCTTCTTTCCTTCTTGTGGCCGCTATTAATCAATTACCGCATCTTATCATGTCCAAATCTGCAGTCTCTCCATGTGGACCAGCAGTCTCTGTAAGGTACCCAGAGGCAGCTTTTACTTGGGTGAACAGTTACAGTCTAACTGGCCTTCCTGCCTCAGTCTTTCTACATAAGCTATACTTTATATTAATACCCCTGTCTGTATCCTCCGAGCACCCCGCCCGGGCAACAAAGCCTTCAGCCCATACAGATGGGCTCTAACTGACTTCCGAGTATTCCCAGTGCCGGACATAAAAATAGCTTCGCCTTAATTTTTACTCCGAGAAGTGCTACCTCTCCAGGATTTTATCTTAATTTTTTCAAATACTATTTTTTGCTCCAAACAATTTTTCTTTTTCGTTTGTATTAAAGAAACACAAATTATCTCTAAAATCTGAAATATACACAGGAATCTGAGAATCTACTTCTACTTAAGTACTCTGAAGTTACTTTAAGGACTATTTTAGAGAACTACAAAATGCAGGCGGCTGTGAAACACTGTGTGTGGAATTCATGCATCCCTAAGGTTGATACTGTCTGTTTTCTTTGTTGGAATTTAGCATGGAGCAGGCCTTCGTTGCCGCCTCCTCTTATGGTGGGACATAAATGTGTAAATGCAGTTTGTGTATTTAAAAAATGGTGTGTAAATCTTAATCTGCATCGCCCTCCAGATGTGGAGAATCCTTGCCTGGGAAAGGCTGACCCTACCACGTGGAATATGGAGACGACACAGAACCGAGGGGCCGTGGCCACTCCGGCCTCACTGTCACGGCCACTGGTCCATTTGTGGGAGGGGGGTGAGATACGCTGAAAAGTGGGCCTCGGCGTGAGCCCAGGGTGGCAGTAAATGGAGCCCATTACGATTGAGGTCTGCTTGATGGTCTGTGGGAAATGAGT